CATGCGCAGTAAGTATAAGTTGAATTTACGCCTGCGCTTTATAGTCACTAGTACAATTTCCATTTACACATTTTTTTTTTGAGGAAAACATTGTAGTATAATTTAAGAAAAATATAATAAATATTTTCAAATACTTTAAATATAGAAATATAAATATTTTTAAATACTTTAAATATAAAAATAGAAATATTTTTAATTACTTTAAAATATAGAAATATAAATATTTTCAAATACTTTAAATATAGAAATATAAATATTTTTAAATAGTTTAAATATAAAAGTATAAATATTTTTAAATAGTTTAAATATAAATATTTTTAAATACTTTAACCATAAAAATATTAAAAATTTTTGAAATAGAGAAATAGATATATTTAAATCCTAGTTTATATATTAGTGAAGGTGAATTGTAGTTTCAGGGAAAGTTTTTTTTAACTGTTGCGTTAGTTAATTTTTTTTTACTATAACGTCTGTATTAACTATCGAAAAGTGATGATATGTGCTTGAGAAAAATACAATTTTCGCATGCTGGTGGAGTTCTAGGCAATGATTATCTGACCGATGGAATTAAGTCAGTCGTTGGGATCATTTATAGTTCTGATGTGCCTTTCACATATCGCTCCCCATAAAGTTTCATTCCCCAAATCTCCCTCCTCGAACATTATTTATTATCGGTAACCGTATGATCGTCTAGGTGGCATTTTATACATATATACATTACAAATACGTACGTACACTTATAAGTGTATATGTGTAACATATATTCAATATTACACATATACACTTATATATTAATATAAGCTATATGTATAGTATATATGTAGTAGTATATAGTATGTATTTAGTGGCATGAAATGGTAGTAGTTATGATAGTATACTATATTTCTCATATACATAAGTAAAATGTATATGTGCATGTTTGCATTTATGTATATGTGTATGTGTGAATATACATTTAATTTTTATTTGCGTGTGTAAAATGTAACTTTATTCTTGTGATCGGCACGCATGTGAAATGTGCGGTGCCACGCAGTCCCGACTCGGACACCGCACTTACGATCATTAATCACTTTTTTTCCTCGACGAATCTTTCACTATTTATAGTTTTGTCCACGATGAGGCCTATTATCTCTGTCTCTTTTAACGTTAATAATTTTTTAAAATATTCCCAGACATTGACATTCATTTGTGATGGCATTTGCGTTAAACGTTCACTTCTTTGTTTTCTTCAATCAATCCCATTTTTTCAATCCTAAATAATCCAAATTATAATCAAAACTAAAATAAAAAATAAACCCTATTTTATAACGCTCTAAAAATTTTTGTTTTTGTTCAGCAGATTTCAGCAAAATTAAAATTAAGTCATGATTGCAACGTTTTGAAATTGTGAGAAAAAATATTATTTTTTTTGCAATAAAAAAAATTTTTGTGTATAACACTTTTTAAGGAGAAATATTTGTATCCAAAATCTAAAAAAGGGATTCGATGTGTGGGAAAAATGGAGTTAATGAAAGAAGAATGGAAAAGAAGAGAGGAAGTGAATGTATATATATATATATATATATATATATATATATGTATACGTATAAAATACATGTGGAAAAGGAGTCTTCGTATAGGGTTGATTAATCGTCGCTAGTAGGGTTTGCCGGAGAAAGACATCACTCGCAAGAGTTACCTCCATCTGCTTAAGGCATACGCACTTTGTTTACTTGCCTCACCTAGTTTCTTCAAATTGTTTATATATATATACGTTTACTGCGGGAAAATCCGTACAAAATGAATGAATTACCTGCAACAAAAAATACACAAAAAAATATATTTCTTTTGGTTTGAACAAGAATACTAATATTTCTTATTTTAACTATTTAGTAAATATTTGTATTTTAATTTAATATTTCTTATTTTTTTAAAGATTTTGAGTTTAATAATTTTTATTACCTATTACATATTTATATTTTTACGTATTTATATTTTTCATATTTATATTTTATTATTAAACTTCAATTCTAAATTTCTACAAAATTCAATAATTTTCTAAATTTTAATTTAAAATTCTTCAAAAGAAATATTACGATTATATTTAAAAAATAATTTTTAAAAATAGAAAAAAAAATTTTTTAAATTGTATAATTTATTTTCATTAAATTTGACAAAATGTCCAAACAATTGGAAATATAATATTATCTTTTTAAATTATTTACGAACTATCTTAAAAAAATTTAATTACAATTTTTCAAAAGACTAATTTTTTTATAATTTTGAAATTAAATTAAATTAAATCCATCTAAAATTAAATAAAATGTAAAATTTGAATAATTATTGTCGAACAAATATTTAAATATTAATTTATGCTTCCAGCAGGAATTAAAATATTTTAAGTAAAATATTTTTGAAATAAAATTTCTAAAATTAAAACTGTAATTTCTTCTAAAATTCAATAATTTCTTTGTTGAAATATTTCTTAAAATTAAATTCTTACAAATAATTTTACCAAAATTTCTTTAAATATAATTAAATTCTTTTCAAGAATTTTTATAAAATTTTTTATAATAAAATTGCGTTTTTCGGTGAATTCGCTTAATTTAAAAATAATATAAGTTTGTCGATCATTTTTATTATGTAGGAAAATGATTCAATTCTTTCGAAGAATCTTATAAAAAAATTTTAAATAATTAATTTTTTTCGAAAAATTTCATGAAAATTATATTTTAAATCATTTAATTTGTGAAAATTTTTCATTTACTTCTGAAAATAATTAAATTTACGGGAAGAATTTTATAAAAAAATTTGTTTATAATTGTTTTTGTTTGAAAAATGTTATGAATATTGTATTTTAAAATTTAAATAATTGAATTCTTGTAAAAATTTTATTATTTATGAAAATAATTAAATTTCTGCGAAGAATTTTATAAAAAAAAATTTTTATAATTGTTTTTATTGGAAAAATTTTATGAATAATGTATTTTAAATAATTGAATTCGTTTGAAAGTTTTATTATTTATGAAAATAATTGAATTCTTAAAAGTTTTTTCATTGAATTGAATTAAAATTTTATTGAATATAATTCAATTTCTATAATAGAATTATATTAAAATTTTTGAAAATAATTTAATCTCTGCGAAGAATTGCATTAAAATTTTTGAAAAGAAATGAATTGTTTTAAGAAATTTTATTAATACTTCATTGAAAATAATTTAATCCCGCGAAGAATTTTATGAAAATCCTTTTGAATAATTGTATTTTTTCAAAAAAAATTTATTGAAAATTGTATATTTTAAATAATTAAATTCCAGATGTAAAAATTTTATTATTTATGAAAATAATTGAATTTCTTGCTACAAATTTTATTAAAATTATATTAAATATAATTGAATTTATCCAAAGTATTTTATTATTTATGAAAAAAAATTAAATTTCAGCAAAGAATTTTATTATTTACAAAAATAATTAAATTCTTCGAATTTTTTTTCATTAAATTGAATCAAAATTTTATTGAACATAATTCAATTCTATTAGGTATATTGTATATACAATTGTATTAAAATTTTTTAAATTAAATAAATTCTTTCAAGAAATTCCATTAAAATTTTATTAAAAAAATAATTGAATCCCGCGATAAAGAATTTTATAAAAATTCTTTTAAATTATAGTTTTTTCTCGAAGAAAATGTATTGAAAATTGTATTTTAAATAATTGAATTCCTGTAAAAATTTTATTATTTATGAAAATAATTGAATATTTGCAAAGAACATTATTAAAATTCTGTAATTGCGAATTCTTTGGAAAATTTTTATTAAAATATTATTAATATTAAAAATAATTGAATTTCAAAATATATTTTTCGAATATTTTTTTAAATAAATGAATCGTTTGAAAGAGCTTTATTAAAATTTTTTGAGATTAATTTGTTTATTTCAACTTCTACCGAATTTAAAGTTGTACAAATTCTTAAAAAAAGAAAAAGTAAGAAAAACATATAGCTTTCAGTGTCACAAATCTAAAATACTTTTTCCATGAAAAAGCAAAAGTATCTATAGCAATGGTTATATGATTAAAAAAGTAGTAAATAATTGGTTTTATTAGATGAGTATTAAGTCTGTTATTGTATATATAGTTTTGCTCTTGATGGAAAAATCAATTATGAATCTAAATGATTTGTCTTAAAGGATATTTAAGATAGAGTATATCAGATTAGTGGGACGAATCAGAGCAAAATGGACCTTGAATAAAGAGAGGAGCATTTGAATAGGGGTGTTGCACACATGGCGAAAAATTCTTTGTACACAAGTTAAGGTGGGGGATTCAATATAGGTTTTGTGTCAATAGAGTAAATAATGGGAGGGGTTTAGTACGCACCATGTACAGATTGCACCCCCAAAAAATCGGGGGTGGCTTTTCTGAAGGGCAGCTGATAGTCACCCATGCCCCAATATCAACTATTCTCTTATGCACTTTTCTTATTCTCTCCCTCTGTCTGTCTCTCTTTAATTCAATTTTTCCCTCTCTCTCTCTTCTTTATTCTTCCTCTTTCATTCTCCTCTTCGCTCTGAATTTTCATTCTTTTTTTCCTTCTTTATTTTTCATTCTTTTTTTACTTCTTTATTTTTCATTCTCTTTTTTCTCCTTTATTTTTCATTTTTTTTTCGTCTTCTCTCCATTAGTGTTTATCAATTTCTGTGAAACTTGACAATAATTATTTTATTTTCTCTGTTTCGTCCTTTCTCCATTGGTATGTTGATCAAAATTTCTGCGAAAACGAAAAATAATTTTTGTTTCCATTCTCCACGATTGCATTAAGTTGTTATAGTAGCAAAGGGAAGGTTTGAAAAATCTTGTGCCAATCTTTGTACCGAGGGAAACAACCCCCTCCACCTTCGCTTTTACCGTAATAAACTGGTGAAAGTTACGGGGGCCCATTGGCACGCGCGAACCCCCGTCGTTGACGCCTGGTCGACGTACCCCAGGCTCAAAATCGTCACGGGGACACAAATCATTTCATTTCATTGTACTTCGTCTCCGTGTTTGCCCGAGGCTCTTACTCACTTCCAGAACCGATCTGGCGTGCGACTGGACATCATCCCTAGTTTTGCACTCCTCAATATTCTTTCTCTTGCAATTTAATAATTTTCTCTTTCGCAAAGTTCATCATATCATCATTTAACGAAATCAGTAAAAAAAATAACCACTAACAACATAAATCAGTAAAAAATAACCCCTAACAACATAAATCAGTAAATCAATAAATACCAAAGAAAGAACGAAAATTTACAAAAAGTTATGAACAAAATAAGTTTTGTATAAAAGTGGCCCATTCAAAAGTGAACCAGTTAAGAATGTGTTTGTGAAAGAATGCTTGTTTATCCAGTGATAGTTATTATTTGAGTGTCCTATATTCAACTGTGTCATATGTACTCAAGTGTCTTTTTTCTTATACTCGAAAAAATTTGTGGTAAAAATAAAACATTAAATTAGAGTGGAACCTACAAAAAAAATGACTAGTTCAACATACTACAGTTCTGTAACAAACAGTGAGAGTTATTGGCCGTATCAGTTCAGTGATTATAGAGCTTATGATCCAGGATTTTTCTATCAAAACTATCATCATCATCATTATAATCAAACTCAACAAAATCAACAAATCTCCTCGCCATATACAATGAGACCCTCGCCGGAAAATTCTCCACCTTCCAGTTTACTTGAGACCCTATTGAGACATGGAAAAGAAGCTGTTTCACAAAGTTACAATACAAAATCACTACCGTCAAGAGATCAAGTTTCGAGGTCACAAATTGTTTGTCAAACGTCACCGTACACTCCATCTTCCAGTTCAGACAGAACATCGCCTCAAGTTTGTTCGGCTAATGATACATCTTCACAGGATCAGTATCAAAATTATCAGCCGACTTATCAGGATTATCAGAATCGAGGGGGCGCGGAAAATTCACCATTTGACAGTACGGCATCTAATGGATATGGTTATGGGAATAATAATGATGATGGAAAAATGAGTCCTGGAATTAGTGATTATGGTGATGATTCTAGAGCCGAGTATCAGTGGATGAAGTCTAATGGTGCTAATGGTAAGTTCTTTTGGTTACTTTCACAGTTTGGATATAACTGAATAATTTATTGAGCTCAGTTTTTTTTTGTTCTTTTCTGTAATTTTAACTACTACTATACTATTACTACTGCTGCTATTATTGCTGCTCCTACTGCTACTGCTACTACTACTGCTACTACTACTGATACTACTAGTGATACTACTACTGATACTACTAGTGATACTACTACTGATACTACTCCTGCTACTACTAATGCTAATACTACTGTTACTGCTACTGTCACTACATTTATTGCTACAACATTACTCTAAAATATTTTGAATCCTAATAAAAATAAATCGAATCCAAAAATAGGGATAAAGAATTTAAATACTTTCTAATACAGCAGAAGAAGTACTATTTCTATTAAAATTTTTTGTGTAACTTAAATTACCAATATATTACAAATACCTCGACAAATACTTTACCAAACAGATCACCAATAAATAAAAATCCACAATGTTTCTAAGGATATCAAATTAAGACAAAAAAAGAATCAAAAGTGTTGCCTCGCAACACTCTTGATTCTTTTTTTGTCTCAATTTGATATCCTTAGAAACACTACTGTGCGAAAAATACCAATTAATTAATAATCAATAATTTTTAATAAATCTTGTCAAAAGAAGAAAACGACTAAAAAGAAACGAAAGCAATACTAAAAACTAAAAAAAACTAAAAACCTCGAAACTTGATCTGTAAAAATTATGTTTTGATGATTTATTTAATGATGTATTTGATCACGATTTTTGAATTCCTTACAGCAGAGTTGACAGTATCCGGACACAAGAGAACAAGGCAGACCTACACGAGATATCAAACACTTGAATTGGAAAAGGAATTTTACTCCAATCGTTACTTGACGAGACGAAGAAGAGTTGAAATTGCCCAAACACTTTGTCTATCGGAGAGGCAGATAAAAATTTGGTTTCAAAATCGAAGAATGAAGGCGAAAAAGGATGGAAAATTGGGATGCGCAACTGGAGAATCGACTGGCGATGAAATATGTCAATCGGAGAATAATTTATCATTGACGCCAAATTCAATTTCGTCATTACACTCGACGGGAATTCCGCCATTGCATCAGAATGATATTCCATCATTGCATGCAGCTGGTGTGGGAACTTTGAATTTGCTTCAAAATTCGATGCGAGATGGAGGACATGGTGTTGTATCATCATCATCATTGCAGGAGAATGCTGCTATGTTGCAGAATAGTTTGAGGAATATTCCAATGGGTGATGAATCATTGGGACGTGGTATCAATGGTGGAAAGTGTGAGACGATTAATCAGCAGATTGGAGGTGTAGTGCATAATGGAGGATCTTTGATGCAGAATGGTGCTACTTTGCATAAAGGTGGTTTGCAAGAAGGAGGTTTGCAACAAGGAGGTTTGCAAGAAAGAAGTTTGCAACAAGGATTGCATCAAGATAGTTTGCATCAAGAGAGTTTGCATCAAAGTAGTTTGCATCCAAGTAGATTGCAGCAAAGTTTGCAGCAGGATTTACAACAAGGTTTGCGACAAAGTTTGCAGCAGGATTTACAACAAAGTTTGCGACAAAGTTTGCAGCATGATTTACAACAAGATTTGCGACAAAGTTTGCAACACGATTTACAACAAGGTTTGCGACAAAGTTTGCAGCAAGGTTTTCATCATGCTCCATTACATCAGAACAAGATGGCTTCGTTACACAACAATGGTATCGAATCACTGCAGCAGAATTGTGGAAATTTGATGCAACGACTTGGGGGACATCCGATTCATAGTGCATATTTGAATTATCATCATCAGCAGCAGCAGGAGCAACAACAGCAGCAAGAACAACAGAAAATAAAGCATCAACAACAGCATCAACAACAACAACAACAACAACAACAGCATCATCAACAACAACAGCATCATCATCATCATAATCATCATCAGCAGCATCATCAACAGCATCAGAATTACATGGGTCAGGATTACGGACAACAGCATCAGGTTTATGGTCAGCCATCGAAGTTGGAACTTCATATTGGCTCGTGAAGCAAGAATGCGAAGCGGTCTCAGCATCAAGCAGCTGACCCTGCAACAGCCATGATTTATGGCTAAACGAGCTAAACAGTCGGGAGAGAGAAAGAGAGAGCATCCCACGCCAGGTATTTGAAACTCCGTTCACGCTGCATTTTGCTCGGGACATCCTGCCGGCTCTCCTCGCACATTTATTTATTCACAGAGGTCCAAAGATTGCTGCACACGTCACTGTGGAAAATATTTTGACACGAGCTCCATAATATTCATTCATTTACTAATAAACCCCCAAAACAATCTTGCGAGTCATTCTTGATAGTACACCTTTGGAAAAGTCAATTTCACGGATTCTGGTAATTTTGAACAGTAATTATTCAATTAACAATTAATTAATGAAACTAATTTATTAAATTAATTATTTGTTAATGATACTAATTTTTAACTTAATAATTAATAAAAGCTGATTTTTATTAAATTATTAATTAATAAAACTATATTAATTGTTAATTAATTAATAAAGCTTTATTAATTGTCAATTAATTAATAAAGATTTATTAACTGTTAATTAATTAATAAAACTTTATTAATTGTTAATTAATTAGCGAAATTTTTAGTTGTTTCTATAAATTCTTTTGCTATTCTAGAGAATCTTATCGTTTATTGCAAAATTTAATTATTTTCATAAATAATAATATTCATCACAAGAATTCAATTATTTTCAAAATTTATAAAATTCTTCGAGGAAATTCAATTATTTAAAAAAAAATCTAAAAAAAATTGTCAACATTTCAGTTATTGCTTTATGAATGAATAGCTAAATTCTTCGACAAAATTCAATTATTTTCAGGAATTGTAATAAAATTTATTGCAAAATTCAATTATTTCCAAAATTTATCAAATTCTTCGCAAAAATTCAATTATTTTCAAAAAAATCCCAAAAAAATTATCGTCAACATTTCAATTATGTTTATAAGTGAATTTATAATTTTTGCCAAAATTCAATTATATTCAGGAATTTTAATAAAATTCATAGCAAAATTCAATTATTTTCATAAATAACAATATTCATAACAAGAATTCAATTATTTCCAAAATTAATAAAATTCTTCGACAACATCTAATTATTTTCAGGAATTTTATTTAAATTCATTGGAAAGTTAAATTATTTTCAAAAATAACAAAATTCATCACAAGAATTCAATTATTTTCAAAAAATCAAAAAAAATTGTCGTCAACATTACAATTATCTTTATAAATGAATTTATAATTCTTCGGCAAAATTCAATTATTTTCAGGAATTTGCAAAAATCAATTATTTCCAGGAATTTTAATAGAATTAATTGCAAAAATCAATTATTTTCAGGAATTTTAATGAAATTAATTGCAAAATTCAATTATTTTCAGGAATTTTAATAGAATTAATTGCAAAATTCAATTATTTTCAAAAAATAAAAAAAAATTGTCGTCAACATTTCAATTATCTTTATAAATGAATTTATAATTCTTCGGCAAAATTCAATTATTTTCAGGAATTTGCAAAAATCAATTATTTCCAGAAATTTTAATAGAATTAATTGCAAAAATCAATTATTTTCAGGAATTTTAATGAAATTAATTGCAAAATTCAATTATTTTCAGGAATTTTAATAGAATTAATTGCAAAATTCAATTATTTTCAAAAATTTTTCTTATTTCAATAATTTTTATATAGGTATATCTATATAATTTTAATAAAATTTCCCAAAAGAATCAAATTATTTAAAAACAGTTTTGAAAAAATTTTGCACGAATGTTCAATTATTTTCTTAAATAATAAAAATCTTTCAGGATTTCAGAAAAAAATCGGACTCATTTTTGTTGCAACTCAAAATGAGTCTATGTTAAATGACATAGAACATGGCGCCATCTGCGAGGTTCATTTTTGTTGCAGCTCATAATGAGTCACTTTTACGACTCATTTTGAGTTCAGTTTTTCTTTGTGAATTAATAAAAATAGAATTTGCATAAATTTTTTCTAAAAAATTCAATTATTTATAAAAATTTTCTTAAAATTCGTCAAAAGAATTCAATTATTTAAAAATTCGTTGATAAAATTATGTCAAAAAAGTAAGAATTCAATATTTTAAGAAACATTCAATTATTCAGTAAATTATCGATGTTTGTATTCAAATAATTGAATTCTCGTAGAATTTTCTAATAAAAAGTAATTTAAAAATTAATTTCAGTTAAAGTTTCAGATAATAATTGAATTCTGGAGAATCAAGTTATAATAATAATTTCGCTATTCTAGAGAAACTTATCGCTATTCCAGGGGAAATTTTTTTTCCGCGTATTTGAAACAATAATTTCAGTTTTTGAACCAAGTAGAATTTTTAATGACATAAATAAGAATATTTTGATGCAAATTAATATTTAGTTGATGCAAATAAATATTTAATTTATTTGAATAGATCTTTTCTTGATTCAAATAAAGATTTAGTTATTGCAAATAAATATTTGAAAGAATTAAATGTTTAGTTGTTGCAAATAAATATTTGATGCAATTAAATGTTTACATCATGCAATTAAATATTTGAAAAAATTAAGTATTTCCTTCATACAATTAAATATGTGATGAAAATAAATATTATCTTGATACAAATAAATATTTATTTGTTTCCAAAAAATATTTGACACAAATAAATAATTTACTTGATGCAAATAAATATTTACTTGATGTGAATAAATATTCACTTGATAAAAATAAATATTTACTTGGTGCAAATAAATGTTTAGTTGTTGCAAATAAATATTCACTTAATAAAAAAAAAAATTTACTTGATACAAATAAATTTTCACTTACATATGTAAAATAAAAATTTTCGATAATAAAAACATAACCGTTTACTTGAGTCAAATAAATTTGTAAAGTACAAATTCCAGAATTGAACGAATTAGAATCGAATTGAAATTTCATTTCAGCCTGAGATGATTGTTTTTCAAATTTCACGCTAATAGAAATAAAATAAACGACATGGGGCCGCTAGAAGTTTAAAAGTTAGGGGTTGAAAGTGAAGAATAGGGGGGAATTCACACAGCTGCGCTTCTCAAACTGAATCAAGATGGCTGCAAGTACAACGCGCGTGTATTATTCCGCTCCTGAAAATTTTTAATTTTTTCACTTAAAAATTTGTTTCTCCCGCAATTAAAAATTCCGTTCAATTTAAATAAACAAATTCCCAGCTTTTCAGTGAGTGTTGTGATATTTTTTAAGGAAAGAAACAAAATTCTTTCTTCTTTTTAAAAAATAAGCTAACGGAAAATTTAAATTTTTTAAAATAAAGTTAATAAAATTGCTTCGGCAATTTAACAAAGCAAAAAAAAACTTCAACATTAAACGAAATTCTAAAAATAATATAAAAAATAAAGAAAATAGTAGTTTTGCTATTAGGAAAGAGTTATTACTGTGGCTTTTTTTTCAATATGTGACTTTTTTCGACAACAAAAAGTTGAGTTTATTCAATAAATGTGCAATCAATACTTTTATTTTTCAATTTTGGAAAAAAATGACTCATTCCAAGTGTACAATTCAAAAAAGGACGGCAAAAAAAAAGTGAAAGTTTCTGTCATGGAATTCCACAGGTATCTCTCTGCGCTTGTACATTTGTTACAGTTTAAATCCAAAGAAGGAAACTAGAAAATAAGTATAGAAAATATACGTGTGCCATTTGTTTTTCATTTCTTTTTTTGTATTTAGAAATTATTATAAATATTTTATAAACCTTTTTTTGTGGGGAATTTTTTTTAAAGGCTGTTTGAAATAAGTCTTCAATATTATTGCGAAATATTATCACAAAAAGTGATAACTTACCAAATTAGACAAAAAAAAGTATATTTAAAAAAGTTAACAAAAAAGGAAATTTAAAAAAAATTAAAAACAAAAAAAAGCTGAAAAAAAATTGATCCATGATTTGAAAATTATTTTTCTGAGGAGAAATATTGAGAAGAGATTTTTCTCTGTATATTTTATTCTTAAGTAAAAATTAAATTTAAGCTTTATTTTTTATTAGAGAGTAATATGAATATTAGTGTGAATAAAAAATTAATTTACAATAATTAACAAAAATATAATAAATATTGACAAAAATATAAAGTATAAACAAAGAGAAGAAGTAAAGAAAAATTGTAATAAATCAATAGTCAATTTTACCTATAAACTTATAAAGAGTAAATTCTATATTTTCTCAGTGCCAAAATGTTTATAAATTTTTTAAGTAATTTTACAATATTAGTAAATAAGAATTTTTGCGAATGTAAATTTTTCTCTCGATTTTTCTTTTCACTTATGAGGAAGACTGTTTTTTTAAAGAAACGATTGAAAGTACAATATTATTTGTAAGTGCGTGATGAAAAATGATTGTAATTTAGTTGATTTAATTTTATAGTTATATATTGAATGGGGTAAAATCAAATTTTATGAATTTTAAAGGTAAACTAGTCTACACTTGTAATAATTTTTGTAAGATGAAATTTATATTTTCTCCTAAGTATATACATATATAATAAATTATTTAAATAAAATTTGATTTATACAAGGACGGAAAAATAGTTTAATAACAAAAGTATTTTTAAAATAAAGGAAGAAAAAAGTTGTACGAAATTTTTAATTTTTTAACCGCATGTATAACCATAGTTTCCTGTCTGTTACTAAATATCCTAAATATTTAATTAATTCATTATAATTTATTAATAATCGAAAATACTATGATTTACATATATTAATTCAATAATTCTACTAAATTTTACATTTTTTTTATTGTTATACGCTGAAAAAAATTTATTTGATTCAAATAAATATTTACTTGAATCAAATAAATATTTACTTGAATAAAATAAATATTTACTTGAATCAAATAAAAATTTACCTGAATCAAATAAATATTTACATGAATCAAACAATTTTTATTTAAATCAATTAAAATTTTATATAATTTCAGTATTTGAAGCAAATAGCATTTAATTGGCTCAAAAAATTATTTGATTCAAGTAAATATTTAATTGATAATAGTCAAGTAATTGGTTATTCGAATAAAATAAATTTTTCTTTAGTGCATTTTTATATTAACTTTTATTTTAAAAAATATTTGCAACTATTTATAGAAGTTAAAATAAATT